TGTCTGTCTCACTTATCTGTCTCACCTGTCAGACTCACTTGTCTGTCTCACTTATCTGTCTCACCTGTCAGTCTCACTTATTTGTCTCACTTGTCTGTCTCACCTGTCTCTCTCACCAATCTGTCTCACCAGTCTGTCACACCTGTCATTATCACCTGTCTGTCAAACCAGTCTGTCTCACCTGTCTGTCACACCAGTCTGTCTCACCTGTTTGTCTCACCTGTCTGTCTCACCTGTCTGTCACACCAGTCTGTCTCCCCTTTCTGTCACACCTGTCTGTCTCACCTGTCTGTCACACCAGTCTGTCTCACCTGTCTGTCACATCTGTCAGTCTCACCTGTCTGTCACACCAGTCTGTCTCACCTGTCTGTCACATCTGTCAGTCTCACCTGTCTGTCACACCTGTCTGTCTCACCTGTCTGTCTCACATGTCTGTCTCACATGTCTGTCTCACCTGTCTGTCTCACCTTTCTGTCACACCAGTCTGTCTCACCTGTCTGTCTCACTTTCTATCTCACCTGTCTGTCTCACATGTCTGTCTCACCTGTCTGTCTCACCTGTCTGTCTCACCTGTCTTTCACACCAGTCTGTCTCACCTATCTGTCTCACTTGTCTGTCTTACATGTCTGTCTCACCTGTCTGTCTCACTTGTCTGTCTCACATGTCTGTCTCACCTGTCTGTCTCACCTGTCTCTCACACCAGTCTGTCTCACCTGTCTTTCTCACCTGTCTGTCTCACATGTCTGTCTCACCTGTCTGTCTCACCTGTCTTTCACACCAGTCTGTCTCACCTATCTGTCTCACTTGTCTGTCTCACATGTCTGTTCCACCTGTCTGTCACACCAGTCCGTCTCACCTGTCTGTCTCCCATGTCTGTCTCACCTGTCTGTCACACCTGTCTGTCTCACTTGTCTGTCTCACCTGTCTGTCTCACTTGTCTGTCTCACCTGTCTGTCTCACTTGTCTGTCTCACCTGTCTGTCTCACATGTCTGTCTCACTTGTCTGTCTCACTTGTCTGTCTCACTTGTCTGTCTCACCTGTCTGTCTCACCTGTCTGTCTCACCTGTCAGTCACACCATTTCTGTGTCACCTGTCAGTCTCACCTGTCAGTCACACCCTTCTGTCTCACCTGTCTGTCACACCTGTCTGTCTCACCTGTCTGTCTCACCTGTCTGTCTCACCTGTCTGTCTCACCTGTCTCAGGTTGTGGAGTCTAACTGACCACACCCTACTGGCTCGCTGTAACATGGAGGAATCTGTTCGAAGTGTTTCCTTCAACAATGATGGCTCTCAGCTCGCTCTGGGCATGAAAGACGGGTCATTCACTGTGCTGCGGGTCAGGTGAGTTCCTCCTGCACAGATTGGTAGTTTGTTTAGTTTTTCCATCACAGTTTGGTAGTTTGTTCAGTTTCTCCACCACAGGTTGGTAGTTTTGTTTGTTTCTTCACTGCAGGTTGGTAGTTTTGCTAGTTTCTCCATCACAGGTTGGTAGTTTGGTTACTTTCTCCATCACAGGTTGGTAGTTCCGTTAGTTTCTCCACAGCAGTTTGGTATTTAGGTTAGTTTCTTCACCACATGTTGGTAGTTAGGTTTGTTTCTCAATCACAGGTTGGTAGTTTGTTTAGTTTCTCCACCATAGGTTTATAGTTTGTTTTGTTTCTCCATCACAGGTTGGTAGTTTGTTTAGTTTTTCTATCACAGGTTGGTAGTTTCATTAGTTTCTCCATCACAGGTCAGTAGGTTAGTTAGTTTTTCCACCACAGTTTGGTAGTTAGGTTAGTTTCTTAACCACATGTTGGTAGTCATGTCAGTTTCTTCACCACATGTTAGTAG